GATGTACCATTCCCTCCTGCAGTGCTTGGAGGTAATGAGACTGCAATCCTAGAAAGTGTAAAGGAGAGTCATTTGTCAGTACTAGTAGGAGTCATTAGAAAGAGAGAGACTACACAGGAAACCCAGGAAATACAAGCCAGCAGAGACATCTGTAAAGCAGCATGTGCTGGATGATACCACGCTAATTGTCAGCCTGGTACTGTGTGCATTATACAACATGACGAGTTCTCTCTAAACAAATTATCTGTGTACCAGATAGAAAACTAGCCACCATACATTTATGGATGTGAGCATACTTAGTTGTGTCTAGTTGAGATAGAGGGGGTTATAAGAAGGGTTTCTTCCCTGTATTTGTAGTGCTGGTGATGGAGACATTGTAAAGTGAACATGCCCACATTTTGACTACCAATTCCTGACAGGTAAAATGTACTTGTGACTCCTTTGTTGTGACAAGTCCACAGGTCAATAAATCCCTTTTGATTCTTCTCTTTCGTTGAATATACAAATTGCTAATGGAAGCAGAAAGGCAGAATGACATGTCTCTAAAAAGGTTATAAATTTTAGAATTAACTGTATCTTGAGGCCATCTCAATATTGATTTTTTGTTCCCTATAAAACAATAATTTTGCTGAAAAGTGACTCATAATTTCTCAGTAGAACAAAAGACCTAAGTAAAATCAGCTTAACCAAGTTAGGTGTTTTACCATCACAGTATCCCAAAGGCTGAACAAGTAGACCACAATATTGGAATTGCCAAGTAAAGGATTATAGACTGAGATACGACAATATTGTTTTAACTAATTGTTCATACTGCTTTTCAGAGTTAGTAAACCTAACACTTACTGTTACCTGCCCAGAAGCTCAGCATCGCTGCACCCAAATTACAAATCCACCATCAACTCATGGCTGAAAGAACATCATGTCATTTAGGGCTGAAATATCCAAGTGGTAAATATAGAATTTTGCACATGCATTCTTCTGGACAATTTTTGTACAGCCAAGCCCCCTGAACTGTGTGTGTAATTTTCAAAACATATATGTGCAGATGGATTAACTTCTGTACTGACAGAGACCTCTGTGGCACATCTCTCTCAGTGAGGTTTGTAAAGACTTTTTTTTTTTTTCTCCTTCCTTTTGGTGTCTTTTAGATTGGCAGATGACCATTCGAGAAAAAGGGGAACTTTTGTGTAAAGTATAAAGAAAACTTCCTTTCACACACACCCCCCGCCCCAAATATATAAATCAGAAGTGTGCCAAGTCCAAGTTTTTGGGTCCTCTAATGGGACATAGGAAACCTGTAGCTGAAAGGAGGCCTACTGGGTTTTTTTAATTGTGTTTTATAGCCCTCCTGTATTTGTGTCCCCCTCTTTTTACTTTTTTTTTTTTTTTTCCCTTGCTTTGTTAATCAGCTTTTCTGGGGTTTTTTAAGCCTTTGTGCCTACCTGAAAAATGAAAGGAGTTTGCTTCCCTACTTTTCACCCATACCCATGTAAAATAAGCACCCACGTGGACGGTTTTCACTTGTGCGAGTTTGCACTAGTGTGAAGAATGTCACAAAGTAAAAGGCAGCAACATTTTTTTATGGTCCACACACAGTCATGTGTTTGGATATCTGACTGTTAAAGTCTTGATACTTGGGGATCAACCAGCATGGTTCA